ATAATGATGCTGGTTGATATTTTGTAGTTCAAGATAATGATGTTGATTGATATTTCGAAGTTCAGGATAATGATGTTGATTGATATTTCGTAGTTCATGATAATGATGATGATTGATATTTTGTAGTTCAAGATAATGATGTTGATTGATATATTGTAGTTCAATATAATGATGCTGGTTGATATTTCGTAGTTCAGGATAATGATGTTGATTGATATTTTGTAGTTCATGATAATGATGATGATTGATATTTTGTAGTTCATTATAATGATGCTGTTTGATATATTGTAGTTCAAGATAATGATGTTGATTGATATTTCGTAGTTCAGGATAATGATGTTGATTGATATATTGTAGTTCAAGATAATGATGTTGATTGATATTTCGTAGTTCAGGATAATGATGTTGATTGATATGTTGTAGTTCAAGATAATGATGTTGATTGATATTTTGTAGTAGATGATAATGATGATGATTGATATTTTGTAGTTCATTATAATGATGCTGGTTGATATATTGTAGTTCAAGATAATGATGTTGATTGATATTTCGTAGTTCAGGATAATGATGTTGATTGATATATTGTAGTTCAAGATAATGATGTTGATTGATATTTCGTAGTTCAGGATAATGATGTTGATTGATATGTTGTAGTTCAAGATAATGATGTTGATTGATATTTTGTAGTAGATGATAATGATGATGATTGATATTTTGTAGTTCATTATAATGATGCTGGTTGATATATTGTAGTTCAAGATAATGATGTTGATTGATATTTCGTAGTTCAGGATAATGATGTTGATTGATATATTGTAGTTCAAGATAATGATGTGGATTGATATTTCGTAGTTCAGGATAATGATGTTGATTGATATATTGTAGTTCAATATAATGATGTTGATTGATATTTCGAAGTTCAGGATAATGATGTTGATTGATATTTCGAAGTTCAGGATAATGATGTTGATTGATATTTCGAAGTTCAGGATAATGATGTTGATTGATATATATTGTAGTTCTGGATAATGATGTTGATTGATATATATTGTAGTTCAATATAATGATGTGGATTGATATATATTGTAGTCCAGGATAATGATGTGATTGATATATATTGTAGTTCAGGATAATGATGATGATTGATGTCTTATAGTTCAGGACAATGGTGTTATATTTCTGAATAATGATGATAATTATGATGGTTGATATATTATTTCTCAGGATAATGATGATAATTGAA